CCTGTAGCCCACAATCAGAGCCTGGGACTCCCGCAGGAAGCTGCTGTCAGGGAATATTAGCTGGCCATGGACCAGCCAACCAGTGAGCTTCCTCAGAGTGAGTCAGACCCTTCCTGTCTCTGTCCCTGGTACACAGACACGGCGATGGCTAACCAAATGAGACAAATTTCTGCCTCCTGTGGGCTCTGTGCTCTTCACAGATACATTATTTTCCTCCTATGAATCGGGACACCTGCGCTCTTCCTGTTTCACCAGGGCTGTCACTCAAGCTACCCTCTCTAATGCAGAATACCAGAGAACACCATCATAATACCAACAGTTCCAAAGGGAAGAAGATCAGAATTCACAATACTGAATCAAGCATATCCAAATAATATTAAAGCCAAGAGGGCCTCTGGATTGATAAACCTTCCCCGTGTGTGCTGGGAGCTCTTGTCTGAGTTTGCACATGACTGACTGCCGGCTTGAGGGATTTGCATTAGTAGATCATGAGTAAAAATCCTATTAAAATGACATTTCCCTTGCTGTTAGCACCACTTCAGTGAGATGCCCTGGATTCTCAGAGGCATTTCCTGGGGCTGCCTCATTAGGCTTCCAGGCGATCTATGCACCTTGGCAAAGGCCTTCTGGGGTATGTGTGTGGGGAAAAGAGGTGGAAGCACATGATGCCTCTGAGGCGTGAGCAACTGCTTCCCTCGTGGCCACCCCTGGAGATCGTGGAAAACACTCTGTACAGCACACCCTAGCCTAATGTCAGTAACGAGCCAGTTCTTCAAACACACCTATCTGGAATCGGGTCCTGTTATGGCTGTGAGGACGGGGACAGAGGAGATTAGTCCCTGCCACTGGCTCAGTGTATCGGTCTAGCCAGCGTGACATTGCTTGTATGTGATGTCCTACTAGACTCTCCATGTTTGCCCATCCATAGCATCCATGGTCTTGTAGTGAACAATGGATGCTTTGATTATGACCTATTTGCCTGGGTGTGACCATAACATAAAAATCTACTTGGACTTAATTCCATCCTGCTCCACCATTCCTGACTTCTAACACTTCTAACATTCACTGTCTGCCATCTTGGATGCCTGGTTTGCACATGGACCTTTCCAGGCCAAAGCTCCTCTGGATGTTTCCTTAACCTCTTATCCACAGGTCCACATCATACAGCCCTGCCTGCTACCCTTACCAGGTACCCTGCTTTCTGACCAAGCGCTGCCTTCAGTAGACTGTAAACTGTCCCTTTGACCCATGATCATGGAAATTTCTATGCAGCTGAGGCTTCTAGTTCTGCACTGACTTTGGTAATAAAGCATAGAGTCTAACTCACAGAATATCACAGGATAAGCTACTTAGGGAAGAAATAATAATTTTTTAAAAAGCCCCAGCAGGCATTCGAACTGATAAGAGGCTTTGAGAATTCCCAGGGTTGACCAGGAGTTTAGTTACATACAACATACTAAACAAGTTTGAATTCATTTTGGCAAAGGCCAGCTATAGACAGTTAATCCAACTGCATCTTTAAAATAAGCTAACAGATAAAAGATGAACACTGTTTAAGAACCAGAGAGAAAGAAAAACAACGGCAAAATTTTAGAATTTTTTAAAAAAAATACTCCATGATGTGACACAAATGTTCAATTCACTGCCAGAAGTTTTTATAAAGATATCTTGGTTTTTCTTTTCTCCATCCCTTTCTTTCTTCCCCTCTGCCTCCATCTCTTCCTTGTTATGTAGACATTCTCTGGCGACCAACTATGGGTTGGTCTCTCCCTCCATCTCTTCCCTGTTATGTAGACATTCTCTGGCGACCAACTATGGGTTCAGAGCTGGGCCATACACTGTAAAGCTGGGCATGGGTAAGACTCCACCCTGCTTCCAGGAGGTTGGCCCTAAGGAAGGAGATGGGGGAAATAACTGTGGGATGGCAGTGCTGGAAGAGTCACAAGGAGTCTGAGGAGTGAGGGGACAGATGAGATGCAGCAGAGTGGTTCCTGAGAAGCTTCATCGGGTCTGTATGTTCTGGGTATCACGTAGTTTACATGAGGGAGACCTCTGGTAAGGTTCTGACATCACAGGTAGCTGAGGAAGGAGAAAGGTGGCTCTAGCCCTTGTACACCACTGGTTTGGGGGCATGAGCACTGCGGAGAGTTCCCGTGCCCTCCTCACTTCAGCCTCCTTCCTTCACCTGGTTACTGCCCTCATTCGCTGGAGCATCTGAGAGCAAGGAGTCCCCCAACATTCACAAGACATGTCTCTAGTGCAGAGGTGCTGCAGAGTGAATTCTGTCCTCTCAAAACATGCTGATTGAAGTGCTAAACCCTGGCATGCTTGGAGATAAGGCCTGGGGCAGGCAACCAATATGGTATGAGGAAGTGAGAATTGGGAATTCATATAACAGGGCTGGTTCCTTTTGAGAAGAGCAGATATGAGGGTTCTCTCTCTCTCTCTGGAACTGGGGATGGAGTGGGTGAAAGAGTCTCTCTGCATCTGGGAAAACAGCCCTCATTGGGACATGTATCAGTAAGTACCTTGACCTTGCATTTCCCAACCTTCTTGACCACGTGAAAGTAAAGTTCCCTAGCCATTTAGCCTAGGGTGTTTTGTTAAGGCAGCCTGTGCAGAGTTAGACACAGAGAAAGGCAGAGCTTAAGCTAAGCAAAGACCTGATAGTTTGTAAGGCTCTATGACAGCTACAAATATTTTGCTTTATAGGCATAATTCTTATCTATGAGTTAATAAATTTTACATTTTTAGTCAGTGTGCTCACCAAAGGAGTAGCATGAGAGGAAGGATAGGTGTTGGCCATGGCTTGCTGTGGGCCATGGGCAAGTCACCAGGCTGCCTGACCCAGGTCCTCCTTGAATGCTTGGCTTTTAGGATTGCTACATTCACTATATATTTATCTATACAAGCAGGATTCCTTCTTTGTCTATTTTTAATTTCAAACCCTGCAACTTTATTTGCCTGTATCCTTGCTTCTCGATCCCATCTCGGAAAATGCCTCAGGGTATCTATAATTATCTCCACCACTATGGCAATGTTCCTATTAAAGAACCCCTCACAATATGGAATTTATTTTAACTCACTTCAATTTGTATTATATATTTTAAAACATCCCATAAAAGCCATCTGGCACTTGAGGACATAGCTGGGAGGTTGCTGAGAAATCATATAAACAATGTCAAGATTTTACCATTCCTCCAAGCCCCACGATTCCTAACACAAAGAAATGCAGTGGAACACATACGCTGTCTTTTCAGCTTCCTAGGATCCAGGAGGGTGGCATTTATTAAGATCAGGCTAGACAGTTGCTACTGGCCCTCCATATTGTCCCCTGAGCATGGCATCCTTGGTTTTCTCACACTGCAGAAGTTCCATTAGAGAAAATTCTTGGGGTTGAGAAATCTGGGCTTCACAGAGAGTGCATGTGAGCATCTGTGAGGATGGAGGGGGCAGCAATCACTCACATTTTAGTATGAGAAAGTTTTTGCTGAGGTCAGTCCTACTGGGAGCTGGGGGTGGGGTTGGGCAGGTGTTTAAAAAAGGATGGGGAAGAGGCAGAGTAATAAAGAGACAGGAAACACAGGATTATGAAACACGCAACCTCAGAAAGGGAAAGGCAGCAATACACACAGTGGGAAAAGAAGAAAGAAAATAGGTCTGTAGGTCACAGAAACACACAGTTTGGGATAAAGTTGGAATAGAATAAAAACAAAATACAAGGTTGAGGCCCGAAGCATTGAGGCCTATAAAATAAGCTTCATCGTTAGGTGACATCTCATTTCTGCCTGTTGGCATTTTCCCATTTGTTGATTTAATACCATTTTTAAAAACAAAACCGTGCCAATTTTCACCTCTAGGCGAAGGCCATATTGGTCTTTCTCACTGTGCAGCACCCTTCCCTGCAAAATGAGTGTTCTCTGGTAATCTCAGTGCTCTATACATGTTTCAAAGCTCTGGATTCTACCCAGACACATGCTTTGTCGTGGAGAAGGGTGATGTGTCCAGTCCTATGATCAAGCCATAAAGCTCCAATGAGTCAGATTTTCCACTTCAGAAAAAAGCAGACAGTGCCAACAGCGCTCCATGTCATTGCTTTCTTCAAAGTCCTCGGGTCCCTGTTTTCAAGTGCCTGTCACCAAAAGCGGTCATACTGTCACCCAAAAGGAGGAAGGAGAACATTGAAGGGGAGAGATGATGCTCATAGACACAAAACCCAGAGCTGTATCTGTCAGTATATGGTTGTTGTATAATTCACACGTTGATTTCTGTACCCTCCTTTTCTTGTTGCAATCCTTGTTCTGAGAATCTCCAGTCACAATGTTGTATAAACACTGCTCCCCAACTGTCCCCTGATATGCCAATAAAGCAGCTTACAGCCAATCACTGAGCAGAGGAGAAAATAGGGCTGGACTTCCTACCCTCCAGGGAAGAAGAAGTTAGAGGAGGAAGTGAGGGGATTCAGCTTTAGGCAGAGGCCCCAGAGACATGAGGAAGGAACAAGGAAAGCTTTACAAAGCAAGTATCTCGGGGATTTTGACAAAGAGGAAGTCAGACTAGAATAGAGGCTTAAGAACAGACTTAAAATGCTTAAGACTGTGCTGTAAAGCTTGTCTAACAAATGATATAATCAAGTCTCAATTATTTGGGTTATAGCTGGGTTAAGAGAGAAACTGAGCAACAGTTTTATAAAAGTAATTTTTAACATGTATCAACAGAGATCATCAGCTGGGCTGGGCTTGTGAGGACAAACATCTCCTCACGAACTCAACCATGAGTGAGTGGATCGATGCAGGTGCAAAGGCCCACAGGTCCTCTGACCCTGTGACATCTCAGCTAGCTGGCTTTCAGCTGGCAGTTGCTGTCTGCCTTCCTGAACTGATTTTTCCAAAACCAAGAAACTGAACACACCTGGACAGTCTATCCACTGACATGACCCTGAGAGCAAACTGATGGTCCCTGCTAAGAAGAGAGGAGAAGGCATGCCCTGAGAACCTTACCTGGTCCAGCTTCCAGTGAAACTCTGCGGGGCGAAAGGTGTCTGCCTGGTCAAAGTCCTTCCGCAAGAGGAAGACGAGGCGGCAGTTGTGCACATACAGGGCGTAGTGATGGCGGTTCATTTCTGAAAGGCAGAAATGGGTTTTGGGGCGTGAGAGGATCTCTGTCCTTTTCTACCCAAGAGTTTTTTTGTTATGCTGCTAGGTACAGTTCAGAAGACAAAGAAACACTCTCTCTTTGATATTCTCATCTACCGTTGGTTCCAATGAGTTTTCTAGAATTTATTTGGCGGAAGACACTGAAAAGGAATAAGCTCTGGAAGGGTCCATCGCAAAACGTCTTCTGAGATCTTGCCTTTAAACCCTGGCCCAGCCTATACTCCATCAGAGCCCGGGTGAAAGGTGATCATGCTTGCAAGCTCTGTTGTGTGTGCTTGTAGGGCTCTCTGCCACACATCAGCTTCTCTGGGCTCCTCTGGCATGGCTGGTTTCTCCTGGTGTTCTGGGATTTGTTTTATTTTGTCAGTGTTGACACAGTGACCACAGAACACACCTCTTTTGTCTCCCTAATCTATGCTAAGAGGGGCTGCCTTGCCTTTAGCTGCTAGGAGGAGACGAATTGATTTTCCAGCATTAGACATAACTCTGTGGCTCTTCAAAACGATGAATAATCACCCCTTCCCCAGGCACAGCCATCAATCAAGGGAACCTTTTCTTCCTCTGATATAAAGACTTCCTTATTTGCTTGGGGAATCTTATGCCATGGTTCCAGCCATGACACTTAGAGACGTAAGACACTACCAATTGGCAGGAGAGGAGCTGTTCAGTACTGACACAGAAAGAAATCACTTTTTACTTGGCTGTAGAACACAGAGAAATTTACCAAAAGGCATGTGCTCTGCAAGTGAGTAAATGGTCATGCATGGGGAACTCTAACTTTGATGTTAGGAGACATATGGCTTCTTGGTATCTGTTTCCTTACCTGCATTAGGGTGGGGATAGCAGACTAGCTTAAAGTAAACTAAGGCTGGAATACTGTGACGGACCCCCTGTCCATCCTGTATTTAACCTTGCTATGACATCAACATTGGCCTCATTTCTAAAGATGAGCCTTGACTGGCTCTGTCTAAACAGGCTCCTGCCAATTCCCCTAACACAGGAGCCTCATTTGCTAATCTGAAACTGATACATGTGTAGACTTGGATCTGAGAAAACATACCAGAAAGGGACTTTATCTAGGGGATCTATGACTATGAAGCCATCAGATATCTGGGAGTTTTCAGGTACAAGAAAGTCTATGTTCTCTGCATTAGTTTGATTCCTCAGTTATCTGATATCATCTGATCTGGACTTGCCATCTCTGTAATGGATAGCATCTTAATTGCGACAATGAGGAAATGTGTATAAAGCATCTGCCTGGAACAGATGCTCAGTGGCTGTCGGTTATTATAAAGGCCGTTGCTGTGCCTGGGGACTACAGCAGCACAGACAGCCACATCAAAGTCAGATGCTTTGTCTACCCAAGCATCAACGTTCTCCAGAGCCCAATGAAGAAATGGCAGGAGGGAGGAAGGGCAGTTGCTACCTGTGCCCAGTGTGGGGGTGACCACTCTTAGCCTCTGTATTGGCAAAACTCCTCTGGCCTGGTTATGGGGAATCTACTAAATGCTTCTTGCCTCTTCGTGATTGTATAACTGATTTTCTGTGTTCCTGTTGTGAGCTTATAGGAAAAGGAAGGTAGAAAGAGTTTTTTGGCTTTATTTGGAATCACCCCCGCAGGGTGAAGAGGTGGACCAAGAAGACTGGAAGAACAGGCCTCCCCTGCTAGAGCATCTTTTAGCCTAGACCCTTTGTCCTTCCCTCTGCTGCATGCTGCAGACTCCTAGATCAACACACAAGCTAAGAAAAATCTCCTGGCCAGCCAATGGGCAGCAGGGAGTGAGGTTTCCACCTGTTTTTACAGTTGCAATTTTTCAGAGCAGTTTTCTAGGCACTCTGGGGCTGTGGGCACATTGTTGTTTTCCCATAGACCAGAAGGCCACTGGAGTACTGCCTACCAGGCTTACACTCGGTCAGTGTTAGGCCAGGTTGGTCTTAGAATTCCCAACAGAAAAATGTCAAGCACTATGTATAGAGCTCATCATTCACCACTTGCAGCTGAACCCAAAGTGGGCAGGACAGCTGTGTGCCAGGAGGCAGGGATCTCAGCTGCAGGGGCAGATGTGCGGACATGAAGGAGTTATGGAGAGAGGGAAGAAGCTGTGGAGGGATTGTGAAGCAATGGCATCGCTCATAGAGAGAAGGGGGAGACCAAGGTCGGCAAAGGCCCAGGCATCCCTAGTGGCAGAGGACCGTGATGCTTGGGCCTAGCCCTGTTCCCTTTGCCCCCAGTGTATGGCTAATTGCATATCACAGCCTCCCCGTGACTGAAAGAAGGCCTGTATCCAAGTTCTGGAAAGTAGAAAGTAATGATTAGTGGTGAAACATAGCAGCCTGCTGTCTTTGTCAATAAAACTCTGCTTTTAACACTGTTCTTTCTCTTTGATGGCTAAGTATAGACAGACCAAGAAATACAAGGATTTTTTGTCTCGGAATATCTGGACGAAGCAGAGCTTTGCCCTCCATACCCACCCCTGGACAATAAATGAGGGAAACCATGAAAGGAGAGTGGCAGCCGCTGAGAACTTTATTGGTGGTTATGGTAATGGTGGTTTTCCTTTTCTCTCCTTCCGTGCAGCTAGCCTCTGCTGACTAATCAGTTCTGCTATCTGACTATTTAGATGACTTTATAATGGGCCAGCATTAGTAAGTTTCGTTTAGTGCACCGAACAGGAAGCAACTTAATGTTCACAAACGCCAATTTCATAATTTTCACTAATTTTTTTTCTTAATATTTATATTCTTTGACTTAGTAATTTGACTTCCAGCCAGGGAACAATCAGAAATGTGTGAAAGATATGTTTAGAATGCTCAGTACAGCACCGCTTTATTTGCCTTTAAAAAGAGACCGTCTAAGTATCCGGCAAAAGAAGCCATTAAGCAAAGTATGATAAATCCACATGGCAGAGTTTTAAACTGGCATGCAATTTAGATTTTAAATCAGTCAGGCATGGTGGTGCATGCTTGAAATCCTAGCACTTGGAATGTGGAGTCGTGAGGCTCAGAAGTTCAAGGCCAATATGGGCAACATAGCATTTTATCACACGCACCCCCCTACAAGAAGAATACTTTATTACATGGATATATGACCTCGATCTACTTACCTATGAAACAACAATCCCATGTGTATTATCAGAATAGATTGAAATGGGAAGAACCTTCTACTCATCCACAGAAATAAAAGTAACATTTAAATGAAATATAAGGAACATTATTAGATAATCTCTCCAAGTGTTTGGATTTTAGATAGTTTGTATATTTTGATACTTTTCCTGTGATTTCTCAATTTCTGCTGCACTATGTAACACTTTCCCACAGGAGGAAAAAAAAACTCTCTTATTTATTTAGGGCTTTAATGAAAACCTAATATTTTTGTATTAGTAGTACTAACCCCACAGGCAGCTAAGTTAGACCAAACCTTTTCCATTTTCTCTGTAACAGTTTTTTTTAAACATGTATTTATGATGTCTGTGTGCGTGCGCATGCGTGTGCATACGTGCAATTCAATGTGTGCATGGGCACAACCTTGTGCTTGTGGAGGTCAGGGGATCATCTGCAGGAAACCGTTCTCTCCTTCTCTGGTGCAAGATCTAACTGGGGCTCTCCGACTTGGTGCTGTCCTCTACTCTACCACCTCTCTCGCCCTCTGTGCCAAACTTAGGCTAACCTAGGGTGTGATCTCCTGTGAGGGCAGAGCTGAGGCACGGTCCTTGCAGGTCTGGGGTGCTGAGCCGCCTGCGGGTCAGCCACTGTGACGAGAAGGCATCACTGTAGACTGTAGCCATGGCTGCCCAGTACAGTTCCCCTGAGGCGCTGATTGTGGACCTAGGGTGGGGCCCTGGCACCCACACTTTATAAATTTTTGCTAGTTTATTTTAACAGTAGCTGGTTATTGTTAATTCCTCTTTTGTAAGAATCTGGCGCTAGGATATATGAGGTCCTAGACACACACACATTGTTTTGGATAGCTAGTGGCGTTGTCCTGGGCCATTACACTAACTCTGCTGTTTCAGTTGCCCTTGTGTAGGCAGAAACACTGTCTGGCTTCTTTGTGTCCAAGAAGTTCTTGACAAATATTTGAGAAAGAAGCATATCTGTGGCTGTTAAATCTTGATCAGCTGCCTCGTATTTGCACCATCCTAAGCTCTGGCTTAAATGTGACTTTGGCTCCAGAGCCACTGTGTCCATCAGGTATTGCTAGGACCAGGCCACTACTCCCAGCTCCAAGCTCAGCATTACCTCATGCAAGTCCATGACATTTTCCTTGCATGAAAGTCTCAGAGAAAAGCTATTGCTGGGGCTGCTCCTTCTGCATAGCCTGGTCTTGTAAGTAGGGAAAAGCCAGGCAACCCTGGCATAGTGTCTTTCTAGAAGAAAACACATTAGACTACAGGGAATAACTGGGATAAAAAATATGGAGGTCCTTGTAGTGGCACGAAGTGGAATAAACCCAGAAATAGTAATGATGGTGCCAGCGATACCTCATAAACTCATGGTGCCCTGCCTCTGCACGTATTTTAAATGTTTTCCTGTTCTATTTCAGGATTATTTTGTCCATTTGGCATATAGGGAAACTGAGGCTTATGAAGCTTAATAACTCCTTAAAGGTTACACTTGAGCTGTGGACTCAGGCTGTTTGACAGCACGCCTGAGCTGCTCGCTACCCTTGCCCTGCCTTACAGTTACAAACACTGCAATTTATTTGAGTATTTAGAAGAATTTACATTTGAAATGGGAGACTGGAATTATAATTAAATGTAGAGTTGTAAATCTGGCAAAAGATGTTAAGATGTGTGTGTGTGTGTGTGTGTGTGTGTGTGTGTGTGTGTGTGTGCGCATGGAGGCATAGGACACATGCATAGGATATGGACTTCGTAGACCCTAAATCGATGTTCTGGTTCCAGTGTTCATTGCTTGTGTAACTGCTTGATATAAGATGCATAACCTCTCGGTGGATGTTTCCACAATAATGTATTCATAAAATTCATTGTGAAGGTTCAGAAAAGGAGCAGCTGACATCAAGCTGAGTACATTCTATGTACCCAGCACTTTTCTGAAGGCTTCATGTATATTTACGTTACTTAATCAGCATAAACAACTCTAGGGAAGATAATACTCTAACAAGGTCACCCATCTCTAAGAGTGTGGCAAACCCCAGGGCCCCTATGTGCAGGCCTAGCCTGAGAGGAATGTGCAGCACCTGGTAGCTAGCCTTGTCTCCTTTCAAAGTACTGCTTTAAGTTGACAAGGTCCTTTTATTCAAAAGAGAGCTTTAGAAAATACTTATGCAATATGGAAAACATGGGGTTTCTTTGTTACAGTAAGGATGAAGATTCCACCTCCACCCTTACCTGCAGCAGCCCTAAGGTACTTCCACAGGCATCGGAGTTCTTAGGAACCCCGTTGAAAGATGCTCATTTAAACTGCTGCATACTCTCTGTTGAGACCTTTTCTTTCCGCTCTCTCCTAGTCCTGCTTTACCTTAACCTGGAAAATCAGCAGCTGGAAACCCAGAAAGCAGAATATATTCCCAGGCTCCCTAATCAGCACACCCTGCAAGCCACATCTGCCCAACCATCGGGGACACAGCAGGCTGGAGACTCACCAGTTTTATCCGAGTTACAGAGGATAGTTTCCTTCTCGGCTCTCACGCCAGGGCTGGGGCCGTGTTTCATCCACATAGTGATGGTGAACTGGTCTGTCAGGTTCTTGGGCACAATCCCATCAGGGATCTTGGCACCCTGCCTGCCATCAAACTTGAAGATCATCTCGCTGCTGTCCACCAGCAATCCTGCAGTCCAGTTGGTAGCTGCGCTCGGGGACGGCAGGAGGTCGATGATGCCTGAGGATGCTCCTGCAAGGGGCAGAGATGAAAGCACGGTGGTTATTCCCTAGGGTGGCTGGGAGGTGACCTTACCTCCTGAATTCTGCTTCTGGGTCCTAATGGAGTTAGAGTACTTACTAAGGTTTGTGCCTACTCCTGAACCTAGACGGCTCAGAAAGGAACCCGACAGCATTTGAGCCTCTGACTTGATTCTGGTCTGCTTAGACACACACTGGTAATCTGCAGATAAAAGTGAGACATATGTCCAGGGAGGTACAATCAACTATTGAACCAGGAAAAGGGATGCGCAGAACCTAAAGAGTTGGGAGAATCACGGGCCTTTTATTAGCCTGGTTTCCTACAGACAACCGAGGCTTTCGTTTGAGTGAATGGATTCATTCATGCACCCCTCAATTAACCTATCACTCATTTATTGAACATTAGCCCTATGCCCTGACCCTTTCTAAGTTCTGGACACATGAAGGTGAGTCAGATACTCATATCCAAGGAGAATCTATGAGACAACATTATATGATCAAGGTTATGACTGGGGAAAATTCTAGGTTCTCATCTTGAGCGAAGGTGTGTAAGTCATTTTGTCCACACTACACTTTAAAAAAAAAACAAAAACAAAAACAAACAAACAAACAAACAAACAAAACCAACCATTTGCTAAAGCCAAATGGAACAGTTTTTGAAAACAGGACTTTAAGGTCAGAAGCTCCTGACACCTGGCAGCTTGATGTGGCAGCGCTGTGACTGGGAACACATCACTTAATCTCTCTGACTGTATTTCCTTTGTCGGTGTGTGTGGAGACTGAATGAGATTGTGCATTCAAGCTTACAGCTACATGCTTCACACAAAATGAGGGCTCACTCAGTGTGAGCTATAATTTTTTCATCACCACCGTTGTGATTTTTTTGCTATCACTATTATTCCAGGCTACAACAGGAGGGCTTATCCCAAGACAGCAAGACGATGTGGGCGGATTAGCATTTTAGGACGAACACAGGGCAGCTTCGTGGAGGGTGGGCTGAGGGGAGAGGGAAGAGCTGGCTTGTCAGGAAAGGCTGGACTGTTCTTCTGAGAGGACCCTTGGACCCCCATTCGTTCTGTGGAGCAGCATCCTCTCCATCAGGTTGGGAGCTTCCTGCTAGGTTCAAGTATGAAGAATTAGGGGACTGCAAACTTTGCCAGGGCTATGCACATGGCTGGCTCCTGGTAGGGCACTCACCAGTCATTGTATGTTTTGTTTGTGATATAAATGTGAGAGCAGCTGTATCCCACTGTACATGCTGATCATCTAATCGGTGGCGGGGAGTGTGCCTTATCCGGTGTTTATTGGGTCATTGGCCTTTTGACTTCTGCAGAGCAGAAAGACACCTCACCTAGATTTGGGTTTCAAGATCAGCTGTCACAGTATGTGTCCAACTGTGAAAATGACTCAGGAAGGTGTCACATTTGAAGCCAGTACGCTTCTTTATAATGTTCTTCCTACCCAGACTTCCCCATTCCTTGGAATGGACCATCAGTCACATGTTCATTGGCTTGGAGTGAAAGACCACAACACATAGGGAAATATAATTTCTTTGAGCACAGATCCTCTGCTTAGCACAACACTAAGTTTATCCTGAAAGGCCTTTAGAAGGGTCATCCTTGAGAAGGTGGGGGATGCAATCTCTCCATTCAAGATTCTCTGTGGGAGGTGTGGGTGGAATTGATGGCATGGTGCACATAGGCATCTCACATAGTAGGTATTCAGTTCCCATTTACAGCTGCCCTTCCTCTTTTCCAGTGTCCCCCAAGATGTTCTGGGATATGACTCAATCAGGATATGACTCAATCAGTAAAGTGCCTGCCTCACAAGCATAAAGTTAGGATCTCCAGAACCCACATAAAAAGCCAGGCACAGTGGTGTGTGCCTGTAGCCCCAGAACTAGGAGGAGTGAGCAGAGACAGGCAGAATCTGGAAGCTCACCAACTAGGCACCTAGCCAAATCAATGAGCTTCAGGTTCAGTGAGAGACCCTGACTCAAAAATTAAGGAGGAGAGTGGTAGAGACACCTAATGTCTACTTCTGACTTACACACACACACACACACACACACACACACACACACACACACACACACACACA